GGCTTGTTTTACAACGTCGTTGCCAAGCGACGAAAACCCAACCCCGATGGCAAACACCGCGGTACACCGGGGAGGGGTAGAAGTATTCTACTTTATCATGTATTGTAGCGTGGACTTTCCTGTTTACTTTGTGGCGATCGTGTGCTCCGAGGACGGTGGTGTAGGTTGCCCTTGTTGGTGCTGCTCGTGTGTTGTCCTTGTGGTGTCACTGGTGGTGCGTTTGGTTTTCGTTTTCGCACTTGAGAATGGCTAGACCTATCCTACTGTATACACCTCGCTTCCGCAACGGCAGAAAGGTCTGCCACGACTTCTATTTGTACTCATAGCCGGAGGCCTCTTTCTTCGTGTGGAGTCCTCAAGATACAACAATCATGGATTAATTTCGCTCGATACAGCCGCGCCCGCGAATGATTTTTTGCGGTCATCTCTAACGAACGAAGGTGCCATGGCCGACTTTGAATATTTAGCGTCTACTTGTACATCAGTTGCCCGAGAGCCCATCAGGAACGTTTGCTGCTGGCAATCCGAGCGGGTGTCTGTTTTTTAGGGTCGTTCAGTTGTAAGTATGTTGTTGAAGTTGCCATGGCTACAACCGTTTTTGTTTATTCTGTCGGTTTGGATGACGTCTGCTTTGTTTGTGCTCCCCAGCCCCGCCCTCCCTGAGCGATCTCTTGTTGGTGCTGTCGTGGTTGCTGTTGTTTGATGCTCAGGTGAAAAAGTTCGACACTCTACGGCGCTTATTGAACACGCAGCCCTTCCCGGAGAGCGTGATGATCTTCGTCAACGACCCCATACAGGTGTGTATGTAAAAAGGGTGTTTGCCCGACACGAGATAAGGTGCCCCAGGCCTTATATACTGACATGTGGTTGGTGCCCACATACAACAACATATGGTGAAATTGAGAGCGAAGCAAAATGAAAAATCGGGTCCAGACGCCTCTTGCCATTTCTTGGGAAGTAGGGGGCGGGCTCTTCCAAGAAGCGGCGCAAATTGAAGGTCTCATTAGCAGCGTCACGGGCATATGCGTGTCATCTTCATCGGATGCTGCAGCTAGGAGCTAGACAAGTTGCTAGATTTCCCCAGATTGGCTATTCCTGCCTCAAACTGTTGCAGGGCGGTATGGCCTCGGGCGGTGGGCTCTGCTGTAGCTTCTGCTCGCCGCTGTAACTCCACATCGAGAGACTCCCACAGGATGACCAGGGTACCTGCTTGTAGCTACGGGCTGGCCCTTCAATTCAAGCTACACAGCAAGCTCCACCTCTCAGCAGTAGTCCAGCTGCAGCGCATCGCGCAATCTCGCTCTCAATTAGATGCTTCGCTCTCAATTTCACCAATATGCTGTTATACCCCCCCCCCGGATACGAGCGAGCGGACAGCTCAGCACCGTAGACAAATACGCGGGTACCACGACGCACCTCCCATAGCATGTACTTTAGCCGGAACCCGACCGGCTGGCGGCGGACAAAAAACCTATTTTCACGTGCCCGGATTCGAACCCGGGACCTTTGACGTTGCAGGGATGACATCCTGCCGCTGACGCCACTGTAAAAAGGGTGTTTGCCGGACACGAGATAAGGTGCCCCAAGCCTTATATACTGACATGTGGTGCCCACATGTACCGTAGTATTTACAGCACTGTATCACAGTGTAACTGTGTGTGTGTTTTCGGCCTACTTATGATGGCGACAGTCCCCCCATGTTTCGTGGTGAGGCGTGTACTACACATTTTCAGCGTACGTAGAGTACTACACTTTCAGTGTATTTTTTCGTACAACTACAACCATCCAGGGTCACACAGTAGTTGTTTACGTACGTGTATCGCGGAACCAAGTACCACATTCTTATCTGTTGGCTTGACATCATGGTGTTTGTTTGGCGATTCTGTAGACGAACAGGTGCAGATGTGACGTAGCCACTATTGTAGTGCACGTATGTTCCATAGACAAGAAGTTCTAAATAGCGGGGGTACTGTAGGTAGCGTCTGGCCTTACACAAATTATATGTATGCCATCTTAGGTATGCATATCCTCGAAGGGCTTCAACTTCAATTATACAGAAAACCTGCAAACGCAGTGTGCTCGCTTCTTCACATATATCGTTGTATAGTGTAGTGTGCCGGCGTTTGTCCGAAACTCATGACAAGACAAGGTGCTTTTCGGGTGCAGCAAGGGCGGGGCTTTCATTGAACCCTCAACAGCAAGTATTCGTCTTTATGGAAAGTCGCAGCTTGTTGGCACGTCCGCGTTGGGTGTCATTTTCTTGGGTTGGCTTGTGGCCGATGAAGCGATCTCACGTCTCTCGGCCCACTCTCGGAGGCGTTTGCCGTCTCAACTGTTTCGTTTGTTGCTGAAAGAGCAAGAGCCGCGTGTTGCAAATTGGTCCTGCATGCAGCGTTTGGTGTGTCCAGGTATGTAATTGTGATACTTGCCAAGTCGAAAGCAGCAACAACAACGACAACGATGATTAAGACGAGAACAACAACAAGGAAGACGACGACAACATTGTCGACCGTGTTTCATGTCGTGTTTTATGTCGTATTTCGATGGATCAGGTGAACTGGCTGACGGAGCGCTTGGAGACAGTGGGCATTATCGCGGCACCTTTGTCCGGAGAGAGCTCCAAGGACGACCGTGCAGAGATAATGAGGCGGTTACAGGTGTGTCAACGTGTTTTTCTCTCTCTGCAAATGAACCCTTGTTTGTTTTGCCACGACAAGACAAGAGATGTTGACTGTAGTAATGCTCGTTCAGTTCACCCCCAAAGGTGCTCATGCCGGGTGCTCATGCCGTTTGCTAGCTGACCATCCCGTCATGTACAGCGTTGAATCTCGGGATACGTGGAACATGCGATTCAAACTGGCAATCTAGCTAACGAAATGGATACCCCAAGCGTATGCGAACGCACGAGCCGCCTTATGTAACACATCAAGCGCTCACACGCTGTAGAAATAATGTTCGTAAGGAGATGTCTAGGCCAACTCACGCTTGTGTTTGTGTTTATTTTGTCGGTTTGCTTTCTCTTCCTCAACTTCGTTCTGCCACCTTCTCCTGTCCGGTACTGCTGCTACTGCTGTACCTTGTCTTGTACTCTAGGATAAACGCATCGCCATGGTGGTGACCACCGAGATGGCTGCAAGAGGCCTGGACGTGGCCCACCTCACGCACGTTGTCAACTACGACCTCCCCACCGACGCTGACCACTACGTGCATCGTGCGGGAAGGTACGACAACTGTTTTGGCTGCTGTTTTGTTGGAACGAGGCAATGCTTCCACGGCCGGCGCCAGCGTATGCGCGTTTTTTGTACCCACAAAAAGACGTTGGTACGCGAAAGCAACTACCTGTCTCTTATGAGGAGGAAGGCATGTACCGCGTGTGCCCCCATCCTATCTACTGTAACTCTGCCCGGCACGGTAGACAGATAGATAGATAGATAGATAGATAGCGTATCTCCCTTCCTCAACGTGTGTGTTTGTTTTTCTTTCTTCCGTTTGGTTGCTTTTGAACGAGACTTGTAACGTATCATCGGCGACACACGAACGTTTCTACGGCGGCGATGGCAGATTGTTGTGGGTCTCTACCCAAATATGCATAGCTACCGCGTCTCCCCCCACAAAAGCCTCGACACTTCGTTACGCTTTTGGTGCTACGTAAAAACAATCCGATTTGTCTTGATTCGATTCGGCTCGATTCAACAACCCCTTCTGCTGTAGCACACTTCCGACTCAACAGTCCCCTTCCCGTTTCATGCCTTTCGCTGACCGACACCCCCCTCCACCCACACAATACAACAACGAAAAAGGTGCGGGCGAGCGGGAAGACCGGGGATCGTAGTGAACATGGCAACCCCGGACGTGAAGTTCGTCATGGGCAAGTTCGCCAAGAGCCTCGGGCTGCCGTTCGACGACTGCGAGGTTCAGGGGGGGCGGTTCTGGTCCGTCTCTACCACGGAACCCCCGGTAGCATCGGCGGCGAGGGCGACGGTGACAGCGGCGAAGACAGGGGCGGCGGTAGCAGCGGCGGGGGCGTGTGGTGACACGCGGGCGGAGGCAACCGCTACCGGGGGGGTAGGCGTCGTCGTCGCAGATGATCCTGCTGAGCCCCTGCCGCCGCCGCCACGGAAGAGAACGGCTTCTTCGATCGACAGGGGATTTTTGGGAGACCCGATCGGTAAGTCGAAACCGTCGGCGGGAACGCTGGAAGAAGACGGCGTTGATGATATCGACGATGGTGATTTCGACGACGACATCGCGGCGGAAGCGAGGGCGTTTTTGGAAGGGGGGGGGGCGGCGTCGGTGGCGACAGCACGGGGAGGAGCCGAGGCGTACGGCGTAGCGCCGTTCTCCACCTCCCCCCGACAGCCGGAGGGTCCCGAGGACGACGGTGATGTTTACGTCGACGCTGAAGACGCTGACGAAGCCATGGCGGAAGCCGAGGCGTTCTTGCGAGGGGAACGGGGATCTCCGGACAGCGCACCGGCTGTAGCGGGTGCTACGGTTAAGCCTTCCTCTCGGCAAAAAAAGAAGCAGTCGCCGGAGAAGAGCGCTGCTGGCGGTGACGTCGAGAGCGTTACTAAAAAGGAAACGGCACCTGTTCTTGAGACGTTTGAGGTCGCCGGGGGCCTGGCGATCGTGAACGCGCCGGAAGGTGCGGAGGACAACGACGATTTCGAAGGCGATTTCGTGATGGACGGCGGCGAGTTTGATGAGGATGACTGGGGGGACGGCGACTGGGGAGACGGTGAATGGGTAGACAGCGAGGAGGAAGATGATGAACAGGAGGACGAGGAGGAAGCGGCACAAGGATAACAATGATGGTAGTGTTGGCCTTTATTGTCGGAGGGACGGACGGTGGGTTTTTGCGGGGAGTACGTCGGGCGCGTTTGTTGATCCTTGGTTTGGTGCGCTGAGTATGACGAGTGTTTCGTGTCGTGGGTTTGGAGTGTGTTCACCGGTGTTTGGGAATTCATCATGCCAGTTCAGTAGAACTGCTGTTCATGTTCGTTCACCGTAGACCGCTGTTTGGAAGGCATACATGTGCACAGCAGTGATGGCGTCACCGCAGGCGGCGTTGTGTTTGAGAGGAGAAAGAGGGGAACACGTGGCCGGATTGTACTATGTCCACCCCGTTATGGCGATGTGTTCTTCGTCTCTTTAGCGGAGTTGTCGCCAGTCAGGCAGCTTCCTTTGTGTTGTGTTGCCTAAGAAGGAACGAACGGGAAGCAAGGAAGGCACAGTCTGCTTCTTTTTGTTGAGGTTGGGGGAGAGATTCGACGCAAAATATACCCAGGGATGTTTCCCTTAACATATCCCTACGTACTGTAGGTCTCTTCGCCAAAATTCCATGAATGGGTTCCTGAGTGGGGTTTGGGTTCGTTCGAAATCTAGCTTGACGGTGTGAGTGTTTAGTAGGTGACCAAATTGGTGGACACAGGTTTCACATACAGCCAACACGGTTCTCTTGACAAGCCAAACCGCGGCATTGTTGTTTTACAGGAGGAGGCACCCCGTTTTTTTCCTCATTAAGTTTGTTCTCGCGTGTTGTTGTTGTTGTTGTTTTTCTTCACATTAAACTCGTGTCAGTTGCTAATCCCAAAATCTAGCAAAGACTCGGTCTGTGGTCACAATAATGCTAGAGCCATCAGAAGATCTAAATAACACACACACTATTAGCAAGAAAAGGGTACACAAGCCCGAGGAGGTACACCTACAATCCCTGCAGCACGTTTGCGTGCTCACAACTTAACCACACGCCCACACACTACAATTCGACTAGACTACTACAGCAGCAGCATCATCCCCCTTTTCCCGCATTTAACCAAAATGAATGTTTGTCGACTACAGCGTACTGCTGTCTGACGTGCTGTCAGTACAATAACAACACCATGGTGCATGGTACACAAGCTCGGGGCATGCAGCTGCTGTCTGAAGTGCTGTCAGAATGAGTCCGTGGACATACAATGAAGAACACCACCAAACAAAGCCATCATTGCAATTGACGATCACCCGAATCTATCCAGATTAGCTGTGTTACTAGGAATCATTCCACATTGAAGGGGTCTTCCACGATGCAGGTACACAATTAAGGCACCCGGGTTATCCGCGCCATCTCTGCCGCGTCTCTCTATAAAACCAGTGACGTCATCACACACACCCAACTCCTATGTTCAGGAAAAAAAAGGAAAAATAAAGACGACACAAGAGATGTTTGTCCGTGCGCCACGGTTCGATGCCGTCCGCATACTCCGGTTCCGCTGCTCCGGTGCCGCTGCTCCGGTGCCGCTGTGGCCAGTCCTAGCAAGACCAAACTCGACCCGCTCCGCTTCGTACACGCTCTCGTTGCTGTCCTTTCCACTCGGTTCCTCGCTTTCTCCCTTGTTGCACTTAGGGTTCTTGGTCTGAAAATTCTCGCGCCGAAGGGTCAACCAGCCCAATCAGCTCGTCACCACTGACCCCTCCTCCTGTGATGGCAAAACCAGGTTACTGAGACACTATAGCTCCCTCTAGCAAACCTAGGATCTGTCCAACCTGCTTAACCACCCAATAAGCAGAGGCCTACTTGGTTTTCAACAGAAGTAGCGGGTTAGCTCCTTGGAAGGGCTAAACCCTTACTGGGTTATCTAGTCTAGGGATTACGTAACATTCATGCTGTATCCTCCGCAATGCACGCCTTCTCGAATACGCCTGTATTTGTGTTTTCGTCCTATTTATCATGGCGACAGTATCCCATTTTTCGTGGTGAGACGTGTACTACACTTTTCAGCGTACGTAGTATGCGGACTGGCAATCCCCTCTCACGATGCATAGTACGCTGTAATCTGTACATGAGACATGGTCGTGACTGTGCCACCTGCATGCCAATGCACACACAGATTTTTTTTTGTTCCGCCTTTCTCATCGTTCGCTGGAAGGCCTTCCGTACCAGACCACCCAGTCAGCGTGAGTGACTGACTGAGTGGTCTCATGTGGGGCCGTCTTGGAATTCATCCACATATCCACCACACGGCGTATTGGCGTATTCGAGTAGGCGTGCATTGCGGAGGATTTAGCTATTGAGACGCGCATGAATGTTGTGTGTGGGCGCCAGATCGGACAAATATTCAAACGTGTTGAACCTGACAAAAACACCCACCCGCGTGAGAACAGGACGGGGGGGGCAACAAGCACGTCTAACGACGAACGATTGTGCATGTGTACCCAACATGCGCTCCCGTTCTCCAAATCGCATGGGAAGACAAGGCGACAATGGCATACGCTAAATTGCGCGATCCTTGTGGGGCTCCGGCGAATCATCATGTCACAATACACACAGATGTGATGATTACACGGGCGGTGCTCTGCTGTCCCCTGTCCCCTGTCTCCCCCACACTCACTCACACAGCAGTGGATACGGCTAACACGGCACATCAGGCTCGGCGCGCTGGGAGACGGGAACTCCAGAAACCACGAGAGCTGTATGACGCATCTGTTCACGTCGGGTAAGCAAGCGGTGATTGCATTTCTCTACCGAGAGAGGATGCCTGCAAAATACAGTAGACACAGCACCAGTGCAGACAACTTGCCGCCGTGCCGCTGCATATCGCTGCCGTATCGTGTTGTTTGGACTCCAGCCGTGTCGTGTTCACATGTTCAGGCTATGCTTGTTTGTTCCTCTCGAGTAAGGGTGGTGTGGCGCATTTTGGCGTATTTTCAGGGAGAGTGGTGGTGGTGATTCCCATGCGTGATTTCCTTTTACCCATACGGCGGTTGCATATCGTATGCAGGGTATATACGAAGAATAATACCGTCTTCTGTCCTTCACACACAACGACTTCCCGGCTTCCCGGTTGGGGGAGAGTCAGCCCTCCGCATACCCGAGGTAATATGTACATCATTGATTACGACAGATTTGACTGCTTGCCCATCACGTGTGCACGCATGACAAAGAATCACCCATGTCATCTACTATCCCATTTGGACCATACATGTGACGCACGCAGCTATTACTTGTGATGTCAGTTGTCACCCCAAAGCCCAAGCAAAACGTGCGTCTTCACACAACCTGTCAGCAATGAACCCTGACCAAAATCCCACCGGCTGCGTCCCTCCCTCCCTCCCGTGCTCATGCCGACCAAACAGGAGCTGTGGGAGTTACCGGCTACGAAGAAACCACATACAAGAAGCTGGATCATGCGAACGATGCGTAGAGAATGCGCACAGCATCAGTGTACCACAATGCCCACATACGGCACAGCGCAGTCCAAAAAACCGGAGTACTGCGCCAAGCATAAGCACCCCGGGATGGTAGACGTTCTCAACAGGAGGTGTGGCCACTAGGCTTGTTCGAAAACCCCGTCTTACGGTCTTCAAGGCACCAAGACCGCGATTTTCTGCGTGAAACACTCGAAGAGGGGCATGGTGAACGTCATCAGCAGGAGGTGTGTAAACAGCGAATGCGACAAGCTGGCATCCTTCGGCTGCACGGGCACCAAGAAGGCGGAATACTGTACCGTGCACGCGAAGGAGGGAATGAGTAACGTTCTCGACAGGGTGTGCAGCCATCTGGGATGCAACAAACAGCCGAACTTTGGCGTGGACGGCTCAAAGAGGGCAGAGTTCTGTCAGGAGCATGCGAAGGAGGGGATGATTAACGTTCGCAGCCGGAAATGCAGCCATCCACTTTGCACAACCCGCGCATCTTTCGGCCCCCAAGTGCGTAAATAGTGCACGACGCCTCCGTGGTACCATACCGTTTGCAGGCAGCGGTCGCTGCAAAGCTTTCAACGTAAGTAGGCCTGACGAGCAGCCAACAAGCAGCGGTATACTCTAGTGCCGTTGCAGTGTGGCTTACTTCGGAACGAAAAGATATTCCCCAATTGCAAGTTGGGGTATCAGTTTGTGCTATCCCGAAAAATACGCTACCCAAATGTTGTCCGAAATTCCCATCCCTCATATCAATCAAATATGCGATCGTACTGCGGAACACGCCACCTCTCTACTGTTGTGTATTCACACTTTGCTACTACATATTTCACGCGAATTGTTTAGCTTCCACTCCGAGGCGAATTCCACACCAGTGTTGCACCAAGGTGTGCCAGGGATAACGCAGCAGCGGTAGCAATATAATAGAACCTAGACTCCCCCCTCGCCTCACCAGGCACATGTCACTCACATCGCTCCTGCTGCTGCTTCAATTTCCGTCTCAGGGAACAAAAACACCAGCATTCTGCAGCCGGCACGCAATAGACGGAATGATCAACGTCCGATGCCGAAGCTGCGCCCATCCCACCTGCTTCAAGAGGCCGTACTACTGCGCGGAAGGGTCAACCCGGCCGGAATTATGTAGCAAGCACGCTAGATCCGGAATGATGAACATAAACGCTGTCTATGCCAAGACCCAAGGCAAGCGTGCTAGGAACGCCCCTGACAGGATAACCTCAAGGACCAAAAAGCGCCCGCGCCAACCCGGTGACGTCCCGTCGGTGCAAGCGCCAGTCAAGCAGGAGCCTGGCCAAGGGATGCCCCTCGAAAGTGAGTCCTTCGTCTCAAGAGCCAGATGTATTGGGGAGGAGGCGAAGTCTGATTAGGCGACGCGAGCTGAACGAATGAGTGGTTGGAGGTCATTGTTCGTGTGTACGTGTTTCTTCGATGCTGCTGTGCTAGCCAACGGCCCAATTGTTGCACGTCGGTTGCACACACCTCTTTGGTATGTATGTGCGGTGAAGGCCTCGGCCGGGTGTTCTTGTTGGCCTAGTGTTTTCGGTTGAAAACCTCGTGAGGCCCGGGTTCGGGTCTCTCCCGAGCGAAAGGCTTGAACTTTTCTTGTGGAAAGCGCATGGTGGTGTAAACGAGGGAGGGGACTGCTGAACGGTTCTAGCGCTTATCAGTTGAAGACAAGCACCACAGGAGGAAACGCGGAGAAAAACAACTTCCCATGTGTACGATACCGCCCTTGTGTGTGACCCCGGATGGTGATGGGTCAAACATATACCCAAGTTGGTGTAGAATGGCAACCAGAGTAGACGGGATGAATACACAGGGCTAAAGATCACATAGGAGTTCTTTGTGAGATGCATTTGAACAACTCGAAGCCATTGTTAGCACTTGAAGGGGGACTGGTGAGGGTTTGTTCGGTGTGCGGAAGAATATGAAGAACGGAAATACGAAGCGAATTGAGCCAACCGGCTCCTTGACGACCCTCTACCTCAAGTTCAAAGCGAAATGGGTCCTCAAGACCTTGAGGTTGCCACCAGCTGGCCATGTTGTGCCAGTATATATTCCAGCGCCCCCGATGACGAGGCACCGTTGACCCAGACGAAATTGTGCAGCGCGGCAGAAGAGGCTTTTTACGCAGTGTTCAATTCATTGTTTTGTGGCGACGACCGCAAGAAGACTAAGAACAACCTTCTCCAAGTTCACGTCCCATTTTCTCTGCCTTCGTGCCTCCCTCTTCTTCAGGTCAGCTCAATCCTTAGGGAAAGCAGCAGCCGGAGGAGAAGAAAGGGTTGGGATGAGGGGGGTCATGTTGCGCCTTAGGTGACCCTCGGTTCGGGTGCTGGGCTAGCATAGACAAGACGACCAACCTTGTTGATTTGTCGATACGATATCTGGTGCTGCTGTGATTTTCCGTTGCTTCGGCACGAAGCGTGTGACCTACGGCGGTATCGACATTTGCTTGCTTGCAATGAAATAGCCAAACAAGTCGTTTTTTGTTTTTTTTACAATAGCCAAGGATATGCGTTGCTAGTACTGGCTGTTTGTGAAGGCAGTAGTTTGTGCTCACGGTTCTCTTTTCCGGGCGGAACCGCACACTACATTACGTACGCTCAACCGGATTAGTTTTTAGAGACGCATGTACAGCTAGGTAGGGTGGTCTCTGCCGTCGTACAGACGTCTTCTGGTGAACCAATAAAAATGAGGGGCATTCCAAGCGGCTGTAGTGGATACCTCGGCCCCCTCCGCCCCCTCCGGCTGCACACATGTAGGACAGGCATGGTATCAACAGACACCACCAGTCAACAGGTCTGTCGGTCGGTCATTGACCTGAGTATCAGGGTCTGGCGTCTTGCCGTCTGTGGTGTTTTGCTCTACGGGTTCGTGGTTCGTTCGTGAGTGGTGCCTCACGTAGGTTTATTTTGCACGCTACCCAAGTTTGTTCTGTGTAAAGCAGCAGGAGTAGTGGTGTTGGGAATGGAAACTATTTTTTGGGCTGACGAGCCTCTGGTGCTTCGCAATCGGTAGTGTAGGGCCTAACTAACTGATCATTGGACAACGAAAGCGACTCCATTCCCGAGGCGTCTTCCTCGCCTTGCCAGAGTCTTGTGGGATAAATGTGGTAGCAGCGTGGAAGTGCAAGAGTTTTCGCGAGTAAGTGTCGTCACATACATGTACATTGGGTTGCTTCGGCAACGATGCTGAATTTGTGCGTACGGGCGAAAACCACGCTGCGCCGTACATTGATTCTGTTTGACTATCTGTAGACGTCATAATTGAAAAGTGAACGAGGGAGTGTTTTTTGAAGAGTTTTTACCTCGTGCATGAGGTGTGTTGACCAATTGTGTTTCAGGGGGAATCCAACAAGTGAGAAATCTTCAACTTGCTGTACAAAACAAAGGGGTTGGGGTGGACGGGGCGTGCATCTATCTTGGAGTATCTCAATCGGTGTCGTGCTAGTAACGAATATAATTATGTTGTCTCTACACTCCTCACAAGCAAACGTTGTTCAGCTAGACGGAACTACGAATCGTGTTGAGCTTGATTTAGTACATTTCTTGCCGTCACACTGCACTGCCGGGTGTTACAAGCATACAACACAACACACACATACCGTGGGGCAGATATATATATGATTGTAGCTCGCTCGCGTCTCCAGCGTCTGCTATCCATGTTTTTGATTGTCGAGAATCAATCAATCGTGTATTCTTGCTTGGCTCCTCCTCCGTGGTCGCAGGAAGGTCAATTACCGTCCTTTCTTCTTCTTCATACTGGAGAACGAGTAAGCTTCCTCAGTTCAATGTCAACTTCCTTGACATGTGCTCGCAGAGAGTGTCAGCCCGTAGTGTGTACGAGAAACAAAACGACGATCAATCGTACATGTCCGTCCACGTTCTTCTGCTCCATCTTTTCCTCCACCAAAAACAGATCATCTGGATGCATATGTAGGTTCACCAGGTGGTTGGTTGCTCCTCTGAGGACAGTGACTGCTGTCGAGTGCACGTTATTTGTCCCGTTGAAAAGTAAGGGTTCAGCACTGGCCAGACCATGACACGACATAATTTCCGGCTTTTATATTATCATCCCAACAGCTAGTTGGGCACCTCGGATGTACAACGATGCACGCAACGCACTCCAGCCATCCATCCATATCCTTCTTATATGGTATGATAGTACTTTCAATACTTTTGTAATACCATCACCGCTACTGCCGCGACCTAGCCATGTCGGCAACTCGGCGACAGTGTTTACTACTGCCTGTAACTGGGCAACAATCGACCTTCTCCACAATCGCCTCTTCTCTGTTGTGTGTTCTCTCCACCAGCATTTGCTTAGTAACCTGCAACAGGAACATGTCACTCGAACTCCGTTTTGCGACGAACGGCAGGTACACGCCTATTGCCTGCACTACACTTCCTCCGTCTCCCCCACCAGTTCCAGCCGCTGGATACGTTACCCGCAGGCATGCAAAGCACAACCGTTCCACGCACGCAACGTTCAACCAACCGTCAATTTGACTTCTTCGGCCATCATCGCACCCTTCACCTTGTCCTATAATTCACATACACGACTGCGGCCGACTTGCTTCCCCCTGATACGCATAATTTGATATCAAATGAGGGTATACAAACATGTATTTACTGTTCAAGGGGATGGATGACCACCGGTCAGTGCCCCTCACCACCCTCCGCCCCCAACTCGCCCACAATCCCACCCACACACCCTCTAAAAGTTCAGCATGTCTGCTTACTGAATACATCAAACCCTGACGCAAACGCAGTCAGTCGTGTGTTTTATGCCGAGCAACGAGACTCCTGCTCTGCCCATCGTCGCGATTTGTTTCCACTCTATACGTTCTTTTGCCGACAGGTCGACCCTTGGTGTTCTAAACAGACTGTCCACATGCCACCCTTTGCCCCCCCCCCTACCGCCCCCTCAATAAGCTGATAGCTCCATTCGGGAAAGACGGATATGTCAGTCATTCGTCGCTCTAGAAGTGAATACCCCCCCTTATGGACAAATGTGCCAAATCAATTAACTCTCGCCGATCTATATTCGATTTTCAGCCGGAAGGAAACAAATCCGAACGAACTGAGAATCAATCCCCAAATAAATACTCCCAGAAACTAACTCCCCATCCCCGCAATAGCAAGGTGCCCAACACTTTGCCGAGCAAGGAGGGAATTCGCTCCGGCGTCATGAGCATTCCTTTCGCCGTCTCCTACCAAGACCACCTCCTAAATACAACCGGCCTGAAGAACAGCCAGTCCCCCCCCCC